GTGTGATGCCTTACAGTGTCTGTGTGATGCCTTACAGTGTCTGTGATCCCTTACAGTGTCTGTGTGATGCCTTACATTGTCTGTGTAACGCCTTACAGTGTCTGTGTGATGCCTTACAGTGTCTGTGTGATGCCTTACAGTGTCTTTAATGCCTTACAGTGTCTGTGTGATGCCTTACAGTGTCTGTGATCCCTTACAGTGTCTGTGTGTTGCCTTACAGTGTCTGTGTTACGCCTTACAGTGTCTGTGTGACGCCTTACATTGTCTGTGATGCCTTACAGTGTCTGTGTGACGCCTTACAGTGTCTGTGTGACGCCTTACAGTGACTGTGTGACGCCTTACAGTGTCTGTGTGATGCCTTACAGTGTCTGTGATGCCATACAGTGTCTGTGTGATGCCTCACAGTGTCTGTGTGATGCCTTACAGTGTCTGTGTGATGCCTTACAATGTCTGTGTGACGCCCTACAGTGTCTGTGTGATGCCTTACAGTGTCTGTGTGATGCCTTACAGTGTCTGTGTGATGCCTTACAGTGTCTGTGTGACGCCTTACAGTGTCTGTGATGCCTTACAGTGTCTGAGTGATGCCTTACTGTGTCTGTGTGATGCCTTACAGTGTCTGTGTGATGCCTTACAGCGTCTGTGTGATGCCTTACAGTGTCTGAGTGATGCCTTACAGTGTCTGTGTGATGCCTTACAGTGTCTGTGTGGTGCCTTACAATGTGTGTGTGATGCCTTACAGTGTCTGTGTGGTGCCTTACAGTGTCTGTGTGATGCCTTACAGTGTCTGTGTGATGCCTTACAGTGTCTGTGTGATGCCTTACAGTGTCTGTGTAATGCCTTACAGTGTCTGTGTGATGCCTTACAGTGTCTGTGTGATGCCTTACAGTGTCTGTGTGATGCCTTACAGTGTCTGTGTGATGCCTTACAGAGTCTGTGTGATGCCTTTCAGTGTCTGTGTGATGCCTTACAGTGTCTGTGTGACGCCTTACAGAGTCTGTGTGATGCCTTACAGTGTCTGTGATGCCTTACAGTGTCTGTGTGATGCCTTACAGTGTCTGTGTGATGCCTTACAGTGTCTGTGATCCCTTACAGTGTCTGTGTGATGCCTTACAGTGTCTGTGTGACGCCTTACAGTGTCTGTGATGCCTTACAGTGTCTGAGTGATGCCTTACAGTGTCTATGTGATGCCTTACAGTGTCTGTGTGATGCCTTACAGTGTCTGTGTGATGCCTTACAGTGTCTGTGTGATGCCTTACAGTGTCTGTGTGATGCCTTACAGCGTCTGTGTGATGCCTTACAGTGTCTGTGTGATGCCTTACAGTGTCTGTGTGATGCCTTACAGCGTCTGTGTGATGCCTTACAGCGTCTGTGTGATGCCTTACAGTGTCTGTGTGATGCCTTACAGTGTCTGTGTGATGCCTTACAGTGTCTGTGTGATGCCTTACAGTGTCTGTGTGATGCCTTACAGTGTCTGTGTGATGCCTTACAGTGTATGAGTGATGCCTTACAATGTTTGTGTGCCGTAGAGCTCCATGAGGGCATCGTAGAGCTCCTTGTGAAAGCCGGAGAGCTCTTCTGAGCACCGTAGAGTTATTTTGAGCACCGTAGAGCTCCTTGTTAGCACCGTAGAGCTCCATGAGAGCATCATAGAGCTCCTTGTGAGCATCTTAGAGCTCCTTGTCAACACCGTAGAGCTCCTTGTGAGCATCGTAGAGCTCCTTGTGAGCACTGTAGAGCTCCTTGTGAGCATCGCAGAGCTTCTTGTGAGCACCGTAGAGCTCCATGAGAGCATCGTAGAGCTCCTTGTGAGCATCGTAGAGCTCCTTGTGAGCACCGTAGAGCTCCTTGTGAGCATCGTAGAGCTCCTTGTGAGCACCGTAGAGCTCCTTGTGAGCATCGTAGAGCTCCTTGTGAGCACCGTAGAGATCCTTGTGTGCACCGTGGGAGCCGGTCGGCCGAGCGGACAGCACACTGGACTTATGATCCTGTGGTCCCAGGTTTGATCCCGGGCGCAGGCGAGAAACAATGGGCAGAGTTTCTTTCACCCTATGTCGCTGTTACCTAGCAGTAAAATATGTACCTGGGTGTTAGTCAGCTGTCACAGGCTGCTTCCTGGGGGTGGAAGCCTGGTCGAGGACCGGGCCGCGGGGATACTAAAGTCCCGAAATCATCTCACGATAACCTAACCGTGAAGCTTCTTATGAGCACTTTAGAGCTCCTTGTGAGCACCGTAGAGCTCCTTGTGAGCACCGTAGCGCTCTTGTGAGCACTGTAGAGCTCCTTGTGAGCACCGTAGATCTCCGTGTAAGCACCGTAGAGCTCCGTGTGAGCACCGTAGAGCTCCGTGTAAGCACCGTAGAGCTCCGTGTTAGCACAGTAGAGCTCCGTGTTAGCACCGTAGAGCTCCGTGTAAGCACCGTAGAGCTCCGTGTTAGCACAGTAGAGCTCCGTGTTAGCACCGTAGAGCTCCGTGTAAGCACCGTAGAGCTCCGTATTAGCACAGTAGAGCTCCGTGTTAGCACCGTAGAGCTCCGTGTAAGCACCGTAGAGCTCCGTATTAGCACAGTAGAGCTCCGTGTGAGCACCGTAGATCTCCGTGTAAGCACCGTAGAGCTCCGTGTGAGCACCGTAGAGCTCCGTGTAAGCACCGTAGAGCTCCGTGTTAGCACAGTAGAGCTCCGTGTTAGCACCGTAGAGCTCCGTGTAAGCACCGTAGAGCTCCGTGTTAGCACAGTAGAGCTCCGTGTGAGCACCGTAGATCTCCGTGTAAGCACCGTAGAGCTCCGTGTGAGCACCGTAGAGCTCCGTGTAAGCACCGTAGAGCTCCGTGTTAGCACCGTAGAGCTCCGTGTAAGCACCGTAGAGCTCCGTGTTAGCACAGTAGAGCTCCGTGTAAGCACAGTAGAGCTCCTTGTGAGCATCGTAGAGCTCCTTGTGAACACCGTAGAGCTCCGTGTGAGCACCGTAGATCTCCGTGTAAGCACCGTAGAGCTCCGTGTAAGCACCGTAGAGCTCCGTGTTAGCACCGTAGAGCTCCGTGTAAGCACCGTAGATCTCCGTGTAAGCACCGTAGAGCTCCGTGTTAGCACCGTAGAGCTCCGTGTAAGCACCGTAGATCTCCGTGTAAGCACCGTAGAGCTCCGTGTTAGCACCGTAGAGCTCCGTGTAAGCACCGTAGAGCTCCGTGTAAGCACAGTAGAGCTCCGTGTGAGACGTGGTCACAACAACACCCCAGGTGCTGTAAACAAGGTTCTGCTAGTTAGTGATGTGTTTACAGTGTTGTGTTTACAGTGTTGTGCTTTCAGTGTTGTGTCTGTAGTGTTGTGTCTACAGTGTTGTGTTTACAGTGTTGTTCTTACAGTGTTGTGTTTACAGTGTTGTGTTTACAGTGTTGTGTTTACAGTGTTGTGCTTTCAGTGTTGTGTCTGTAGTGTTGTGTCTACAGTGTTGTGTTTACAGTGTTGTGTCTACAGTGTTGTGTTTACAGTGTTGTGTTTACAGTGTTGTGTTTACAGTGTTGTGTTTACAGTGTTGTGTCTACAGTGTTGTGTTTACAGTGTTGTGTTTACAGTGTTATGCTTTCAGTGTTGTGTCTGTAGTGTTGTGTCTGTAGTGTTGTGTCTACAGTGTTGTGTTTACAGTGTTGTGTCTACAGTGTTGTGTTTACAGTGTTGTGTTTACAGTGTTGTGCTTTCAGTGTTGTGTCTGTAGTGTTGTGTCTACAGTGTTGTGTTTACAGTGTTGTGTCTACAGTGTTGTGTTTACAGTGTTGTTCTTACAGTGTTGTGTTTACAGTGTTGTGTTTACAGTTTTGTGTCTGTAGTGTTGTGTCTACAGTGTTGTGTTTACAGTGTTGTTCTTACAGTGTTGTGTTTACAGTGTTGTGTTTACAGTTTTGTGTCTGTAGTGTTGTGTCTACAGTGTTGTGTTTACAGTGTTGTTCTTACAGTGTTGTGTTTACAGTGTTGTGCTTTCAGTGTTGTGTCTGTAGTGTTGTGTCTACAGTGTTGTGTTTACAGTGTTGTGTCTACAGTGTTGTGTTTACAGTGTTGTTCTTACAGTGTTGTGTTTACAGTGTTGTGTTTACAGTTTTGTGTCTGTAGTGTTGTGTCTACAGTGTTGTGTTTACAGTGTTGTGTCTACAGTGTTGTGTTTACAGTGTTGTTCTTACAGTGTTGTGTTTACAGTGTTGTGTTTACAGTTTTGTGTCTGTAGTGTTGTGTCTACAGTGTTGTGTTTACAGTGTTGTTCTTACAGTGTTGTGTTTACAGTGTTGTTCTTACAGTGTTGTGTCTGTAGTGTTGTGTCTACAGTGTTGTGTTTACAGTGTTGTGTCTACAGTGTTGTGTTTATAGTGTTGTTCTTACAGTGTTGTGTCTGTAGTGTTGTGTTTACAGTGTTGTGTCTACAGTGTTGTGTTTACAGTGTTGTTCTTACAGTGTTGTGTCTGTAGTGTTGTGTTTACAGTGTTGTGTTTACAGTGTTGTGTCTACAGTGTTGTGTTTACAGTGTTGTTCTTACAGTGTTGTGTCTGTAGTGTTGTGTTTACAGTGTTGTGTTTACAGTGTTGTGTCTGTAGTGTTGTGTTTACAGTGTTGTGTTTACAGTGTTGTTCTTACAGTGTTGTGTCTGTAGTGTTGTGTTTACAGTGTTGTGTTTACAGTGTTGTGTTTACAGTGTTGTGGAGCTGGAGAAGTTGGTCTTGTTGTTTGTTTTCTTGAAGCGCTGAACCTTGCCAGATATTGTGATGTAATTACCTAAGTGTTATTACCTAAGTGTAGTTACAGGATGAGAGCTACGCTCGTGGTGTCCCGTCTTCCCAGCACTCTTTGTCATATAACGCTTTGAAACTACTGACGGTCTTGGCCTCCACCACCTTCTCACCTAACTTGTTC